AATGATTGCAGGTTGTTGTTGGTACTGATGATTATGATATCAGAGTATTCAAAGAAGATTTACTGTTGTATGAACTGAACGAAACAGACGAAATTAGTTGTCTGTGTAGTCTTGGTAAAGGACGATTTGCATATGGTCTTGCAAATGGTACACTGGGCGTCTATGAAGGTGAAACACGTATTTGGAGGATTAAAACAAAGAATCAGCCGGTAGCACTTGCCGTTTTTCCAGACAGCGATTCTTTGGCCTGTGCTTGGAGTGGCGGAAAGGTTTACATTTTCAGCTATTTTAAAAGATGGCACATTTTGATACAAGAGTGTTAACACGTATGATGACTTATCAACTTCTTTTTTCAACTTCCTTTAATCAAACAAATTTGTTGTAGATGGATTTTTTAGTTGCTCTATTTGAATGCTTTTGCCAGTTGGACAGCAAATTTAAATGACAATTAGATGTAAATTTTTAGATCGATATTAGAAGGGTTGAAGATGGTGATGCAAAATGTAAAGAAGCTCAACAAGGTGGTGTTGCAAATCTTTTTGTTTCTGCAGACGTCCTGACCCTGGTCACAGTTGATGGTTTTGGTTAGTTTTTTCTTCCAGAAATTTCTTTTTTTTTTTTACAAATTTGTAAGACCGATTTTTTCCCGGACAACACAGTGCATCCTAGTCTTACACAAGATGAAGCATTGAAATGCTAATAAAAAGAACATTTTTATTTAAATTTTAAACAGAAATTTAGACCAAAAAAAAAGGTAGTTTGTCTGATAGTACAGCACAAAGTTTATAGCACCTTAGCAAAACTTTTTTTTTTATTCTGGCTTTACATATTAGACCAGTTAAATTGACTGACTGTAAGAGGCAACAAAAAATAGATTACTTACTAAATTACAAACAATTTTTGCTTGTTTTTCTGTTTACTTTTTGTTGAAACGGTTTTAACATTTGAAGTTTTTTTTTTGGCAGAAATGTTTTGCATAATTTTTCTTCACTGAATTTTCTTGACTTTATTCTGAATCAAATAAACTTGTTTTATAAACTATTTTTTGAACATCTTATACTGTTTTTGGGTCTTTGGTATAAGGTTTTAGATGTTGAAGATTTAAGCAGAAAATTGTATACTATAGGTCTTCGTTTTTTTTTTTTTTCGATTTTTTTTTAACACTTCTGCATTACTGTCTATCAGAAGCTGCAATTGTCCGTTTTTGTAAATACTGATGCATCATGTTTACTGCACCACAACTGTTCCAACAGAATCTATTCCGGTGCAGAGATGTACCGGTTTTTAAAGAACTTTTTTTTTTTTCTGTTATTCCAGTAACTTCTACGAATATTTACAAAACACAATAAAGGAACGCAAAAAGTGTTAATTTTTACACCAATGTTAGTTGATAGTTCCTTTTTAACAAAAAATTTAAAACTATTTCTAAGGGGGAAAAAAAAAACGAGTACGGTACAACATTTTAAGCAACTTAACTTTTTTTTTTTTTGTTTGTTTTCTTCAGATAAGCAAAAGATAAGAGTAAAATAATAACAGTTGTAAGCAGTCATAATTTCTTAAAAATATTTAGTTCATGGCTATAAGGTTACATCAGACCAAAGTGATTATGAAAAATCTGCAAGTTTGACGCATGAATTGGATCAACAAAAACGAAATCTTCTGGTTGGTTTTAAATTTCAAATTATTTTAGAAATCAACAATTCTACTTACAGTTTTTTTTTTTTTTTGCTTGACATCTAATCACATTTATTATTTTGTGTCAGTTATAAGTGTAGTTTTTTTTTTTTTGGTAGGGATATCATCAAAAACTTTTTGTTACTGTTCTATTAAAAAATATCTTTCTTTTTTGTTAGAAAAGAGGAAGAGAGTTTTTTTGCCATTGTTGAACTGATAATAATAATTGTTTAAAATAGATAAAAATTTTGTATTCACTTGTATGGCGTTTGATCAATCTTTTATAGGCAGAATTACAAAGCTATGAACAAAGCAGAAATGATCTGAATGTTACAGCAATAACATCCAAAGAACGTAAATTAACGGTTAGTTTTTACACCTTTTACTTTCCTTTTTGTTTTGTTTGATGGCAAATTTTTTTTCGATCTGAACAAAGAAATGCTTTTGTAATTAAATGATTAAGAAATTTTTAATTCATATTTTGGCGCTTGTCGATCATTGTTGTAATTGTACAAAACCGTCAAAAACGATTGATAAATAGTGTAAAAAAAGTTCCTTCTTATATCGTCTAATAGTTCAGAACAAAAAAAAAAAAAAAAAAAAA